TTTTAATCATAACCAAACTCACCAAATATTGTTTGCGAGACAGAAAAACGTTCACAACTCACAGCAAAAGTGGTAATTCCCGCACTAAACGAATCAAAATTTTCCTAAAGTTTTCATATTGCATTTATGAATCTATTAACTTTTGCAACAGCAGAAATCGTCACCCTTGAGTTTTTAGCATGACAATCCGATCACTGTGTGACTATCCTACGATTCATCAGCTTGCCATCGTGATAACATTAGGAACAATGCTTTATAAAGGTTTATATTGCAATATTTCATTGACAAATATCATTAGTACTATTTTATTCTATAATTATGTACATTGAATACCATAGTGTAGATAAATTTTTTTTAAAAAGAATATTTACTACATTTTAACACAATCAAATCTGTAAAATTGAATTTTTTAAACTTTCATTCTCTAATATTGTATCTAACTACGCATGCATATCCGCCTATAATAATGTGTATGGATATTTTTAATGAGATCGCATGGCGTCAAGCGGCACAAGAAGTCTGACATAGTCTTACCAATAACACAAAGATATTATATTGCATAAACTGTAAAAACGGTTACGTATACGAATATCATTGAGTATAGAAAGTAAATAAACCAACATCAATAGAGTTGTAGAATTTTGAAGCAAATATGCTAAATATATTTTATTAATAGTAAAAAAAAGCGAGAACAGAAATTGTTAAGTGAAGAAGGATATTTGGAGAATGATGAAACAGATATAACACAAAAAAGAACAGAAAAGTATTCAGACTTTGGGCAGTTTATATTTATATATAGGGAACTCCAAAGATTCGCTAAAAATGAGCATACAAGACGTTAAAATGCCCTAAACATTATAAAAATAAAGTTTATCCTCAAAATCTTTATCGTCAAAATCTTCTTAGGCGGAAGGACTAGAGGACTTTTTTCCTTATTAAATTATATTTTTTTAATCCTTTTTAGAACCTTCAAAATTTTTGCTTATCTACTTTTTGGTTATTTATCCATGACGTAGGAAAATATTTTTCTACGGCAGAAAAGTTATTTAATTTTATGAAATTTCAAGAAATTCACTTTTGTATGTTTTAATGTTTATATTAGTTATAAGTCGAAGTCTTCGGAGAATTTAAATCATATCAGTATTTTTTTCTAACAAATGACCACTATAAATCAACTGTGAATCGTAAAATAATAAATGCAATAATAATAAGATATTATTTAATTAGAAAAGCTTTTTAATTGCATTTATGAGTGAGATATTGGCACTATTGTCTTCAGAAATAAGTTTTTTCAGTGAATGAATTTTTACAAGAATTGCTTTCATTTTTTAAAGATTTTAATTAAAACAACTTATAAAGTTTTAATTCATTTAAAATTCTGTATTAATTTGTACTGATTAGGTGATATTCCTATTAAGTAAAAATTATATCTACTAATCATGAATGGAAAAGATTACTACGATTCAACAACCCCAAGTAATATTTTCGGATATATCCCCTTTAGAAAGAAATAGTCCAATTCCCAAAAATCAGGCTGTCAACATCTCATGAAAAACACCCACACCAGTATCAAAATTGCTTTTCTACGATATTTTAAACTAAAAGTAATATTTGTTTCAAATCAGATTGCTTAACCTTTAAATCATTTAACCTTCATCAAATAAAGTTTCAGAAAAGTATATTTTATTTTCCAATAAGTTTTTAATAAAGATAATCGCGTTGTGTTGAGGCAATTATAAATTCGACTAAAATCAGCCAATTTAAATTTGTTTATAAATACAGCAAAATATTTTGCTTATTGTAAATATTCAATTTAATATATTAACACGGAATTAAACTAAACTAAACGTTTTAAAGAATATTTTTTTTATTTTTAAAAATGCATTTTAATCCTTTTAATATCTATTTATATGTGTATCGGAAAGTAGGAAAATGGTCCGAAATATAGAAAAACAAGAAGAAAATCCTTAACCAAACATGCATAATGATTAAGCGTAATGAACATTTCATTAAAGACTTATATTGGTAGGCATATTTTAGCCCAGTCGAAATCGAAAATTATCTAAGGTCTTTGTAACACAAATTGCACTGGCAAATGAATTACAGTAATACATTTCAATAATCAGTATAAACTGTTAGAACACAACAAAATCAGTGTAACGAAACAGCTTCTAATATATTGGCGTTACAACGTGCAAATAAAACCAGTGTTAAAGAGAGAAAGAAATTCGTATTGTTTTGAGCCGACGATAATTGTTCACAAGAAATGATAAAGGAGAAGAAATAACCTGTGTCCAACTTCGAACAATTCTCTGCTTTTCCGAGTTGCCAGTTTCATTCTCTCATGGCAGACATCGAAAATGATTACAATGATTACAATGATTACCAACATTTTTTTATATTACTAAATCATGATTTTTTAATTTTTTTTTTTCTAAATGTCGGGTTTTGTTTTTATAAAATTAGTTTTTTTGGTGGAGATTTTTCTTGTTTCGCTTACAGAGAAAAAGCGATGAGAAACAACAAGCAGGATGTTCGTATTAAAATGCTGCGATAAGGAAAAGATGGAGCAGCCATTTTAGATGGACTGATAAGAGATTGATGAAAAGAACGAACTTTATCTTTTGTTTGTCGTCGAGTAAAGAGAAACATTATAGAGAAGAAATAAATAAAAGTGATTATGAAGGAATAAAAATAATTACAAACACAGATAAATAAAATAAAAAAAGAAATGAATAGAATAAGCAAACGTTTTAATATAAGTCTAGGAAAAAAGAAAGTGTCAATTTTAACTTTTGAAAGAAAATCTTATAAAAGGAAAGACTGAAAAAGAAGTGAACGTGAAATTAGAGAGAAGGAAAAATTGAAAACAAGTGGGAAGTCAACAAGGGAATGAGATTTAAGTTCGTTTGGCTCAAGACTAAATCGGGGGAAAATATGTTTCCGTATCCTTCAAAATAAGTGAGCACGTTTTATTTATTAAAAAATGTCCCTTACAAATAGAGGCGGCCATGACTCTTCACAGTTTCCTTTTATATTATTTGTGAAATACTATACTTTCTATACCTTTTAATTCGAGGTTTTCTTTCTCTTAACCTGGTTGCAATCCAAGGCTAAGGAGAAAGCAACTACTTCTAAAAATTCACTAAAACATGAGCATGCATATTGAAAAAAAATACCCTACACCTAATAAAAACAACGTTTTATCACCAAAAATTTTATTATTAAGACGAAAGGTCAAAGGAATTTTTTATATTAAATTATATTTTTATCAATTTCAGAACCTTCCAAAATGTTTAATTTTTTTCTTGCATCAGCGGGTGATCTTAAGTTAATATGGGTAATTTCAGCGTCTTTTAGTAAGCTATTAAATTCTCAAATATTGTTTTTTTTTCTCTCCTAAAATATACCTAGCTAATTTTCGGGGATGTCTTACCACTTGTAGCGTTTTAGCATACGAAGAAATACGGTGCACGACGACAAAGCGTTCCTCTAGCTTGATTAATAGGTTTCTCCATTTAAATAAGATTTGCTTGTCGAAATTTCCCTCGTCATCTGGAGCCAAGAGATATTTCCAAGTGAAATACCCTATATACTCGTGTATAGTACGAATTCTTATTAGTTTTTTTTTTTGCGCCAAAAATAAGAGGTAGCACTATACACAGGTAATTTTTTGAAGAGGTTACAAATCAAGCATTTTCGTTGATCGGTTACACTATACACAGGTGATTTTTTCGGTGTTAGGGGTAAAATTCTAAAAAATTCAGGGGTCGTACTATACACAAGTATATACGATTTTTGATTTTCTTCGAGTAGGACCTTTGCTAAGATCTAAGTGAATATATATACTAATTTAAAAGCCTGGCTTCACGAATCCTTCACTTTTGCTACCAAAGCAGAATTTTCTTTGACACAAAAACTGCTCTTACAACGGTAGATTTTTTTTTTGTCTACCAACATATTTGGTGATTGTTTACTTCTAAAAACAAGCAAAGACAGATTTGAAAAATGAAGAGAAGATAATTTTTGAGAAAAAAGAAGACATAAACGGTTAATGACTGCGGAGAAGAAAAAATAAGAAAGGAAATAATTAGTAAGATGGAAACGAATAAAGATATATATGTTAAAGAAAAAAGAATTTCAATGAGAAAACTTAGAAGTGAAAACGACAAATAACAAAATGATAATAGGTGAGATAGCACACAGAAAATATGATTGCTGATAAAAAAAAAAACGTTCTGATCTTCTGCATAGGTTTTCTGGCCTATCATTTAGAAAGAATCAAAATTAGCCCAAAGGGAGGGAAGAGAGAAAGACAAGAACATTTCCGGAGTTCCTTCTTTTTAGTACTTATCGTCTGCTTCAATCAAGTTTCTTCTTATCGGACATAAGGAATGGAAATTCATTTTTTTCTGTGAGGGATTTTTGAAGTGAGATTAATTTTCTTGTATTGATTTCTAGCTGGGAGGAGTAAAGTAGAAAAAAAAAAAAAAACAAAATACGAAATGTTAGATAAATGGCTTCTCCTTTCCGCAGCCCCAGTCATAAAGAAAACTAGAAACTATTTAATACGGAGACGTAATGATGATTTTTTTCAAAATGTTTTTGTCGTTCTTATTTGTTTCAGGAAATGTATCTCTAAATAACAAATAAAAGAAACTGTTTTTCATTTCCATTTTTTCGTAATCTCCAAATCCCTTATTCAGGTTTGAAAAACTGAAAAAGAAAACAAAACAAAAACAAAACAAAACAAAACAAAGGAAGCTTCCAAAATGTTTTGTATAAAAGCAGCAGTGAATGTGCAGCCAAAGGTGGCTTCTAATTTACGAGCAAATTCCCTCAATGTTTTTCTTATCTCTTTTTGCTTTTTTAAAATCTTTTTTTTTTTTTTTACGAATTTATTTGTCTTGGCTATTTCTTTTTCATTTGAAAGTAAAATCAGTAAGTGTATCAGATCAGGTGTGCGACTCTGGGCATTTACAGAAATGTATGGATGCTCCTCAATAAATGTCCATATCAGTGTGGATGATAATTTTGTCTGTGTGTCGCCTCCAAAGAAAGGAGAGTAAAAGAAGACTTAAATAAAAAATATATGTATAAAGATGTAAAATTATAAGATACAGAGAGAAATAGAGAGAAAGAGTGAGATGAAATGAGAGGAAGAGCGAGATGTAAGGAGAAAAAGAGTGAGATGTAAAGAAAGAAAGAGTGAGATGTGAACAGAGAAAGTCAGAGAGAGAGAGAGGGGGAGAGCAAGATGTAAAGAGAGAGAGAGAGAGAGCAGAATGAAAAGAAAGAAAGAGTAGATGTAAAGAGAGAAAGAGCGAAATGAATAGAGAGAAAGAGTGTGATGAATAGAGAGAAAAAGTGAGGTGTAAAGAGAGAGCGAGTGAAATGTAAAGACAGAAAGAGCGAGATGTAAAGGGAGAAAGAGTGAAATATAAAGAGAGAGAGAGAGAGAGAAAAAGCGAGATGGAAAGAGAGAAAGAGCGAATACATACGTAAATGGAGTAGCAGTATATTAGGAGATACTGAAAAATGGAAAATGAAGGAATTATGCGGACATATCGACGGAAAATCGTTTTGATTTTAAAAGAATTTAACTGAAAATCTCCTTACTCATATTTAGGCAAATCCTTTCTTTTTGGTCTTCATCGGCACAAAATGTGAACCTGATGAAGTAATATAAATGAAATAGGTAAATATATTAAAATAACTTTCAGTTAGTATCTGTCTATATTTCTGGGATGAGGTATTATGTACATTATTTACATTATTCGGACTTTGTCGCCATATTTATTACAACGTTGTGGTAAAAACATGCAATGATAAAAGCAAAAAATTGTAATATGAGCATTGGTAAAAATGGTTGCTGAAGACATTAGGTTTATAATACCCAGAAATTCATACACAGATGTTCTCAAGGACACATGGCATAAAGTGAGAGGACCCAAAGAGTGTGAGTTCAATACCCGGTTAAGACAGTGGAGAACTTTTAGAGGGAAATTAACAGGAGATAACTGATAACATGGCACGTGGAACTAGAACAGTCTATCCCAGTGAGCGAAATAAAAGGTTAAGTTCGACATCCCAACCACCTGAAGAAGGCTGGAGCGTACAAGGGCCGAAACAGTGTAATAAATATGATGACAAAGATGAGCACAATAGTCCGAATAATGTAAATAATGAACTTTCAGTTAATATTACGTGAACACAAGCGAATGTCTAATTGAATATTCTTTCATTTATCATCCGCCATATCTAAATTTCGCCTCCCTTTTGAATACTTACAAAATTGTGTGTCTATGTACATATATACATATGTGTGTGTGTGTGTGTGTGTGTGTGTGTGTGTGAAATAGATTCCGTGCGACTGCGTAACAGATTCATATATTTTTTCTTTCTGACCAATTTTTCCACATATTTTTCTTTTAAACCACGTCCGCCATTTTCTATTTGACACACCAGTTTTCATTTCATTCATAAGGGGATGCATGTACGACAACTATATTTATGGGAAAACCCCTGAAGCACGACTAATGCTTCTGTGTGGACAACTATCAGAGGACTAATCTAGATTCTCACACATTATACATATATATATATATATATATATATATATATATATATATATATATATATATATATATATATATACTTGTGTGTGTTTGAGTAAATCAAATTTCCTCTATACACTGACAGAACCTAAAATTGTAGTAGCCTGAAGGATGATATCGACTTTGATCTGAGCACAGTATGTCTATAATGACTGGGGAATTGGTATTGTGGTAAAAATGACTTGACGTACTGACACTTATACTAGTACACCGGTGACCCATACTGCGATAAGATTAAGTGTTATAGAGTAGGGCTCACCGTACTTCCTGATCTTTTCTACTACTGTGACAATGGAGTGCTCCTATTTCGAAATATGACAAGTACCCCCATTAGAGTAGGTTTTGAGGAGTAGTTGATCTACTCAAAGTTCCCCGTTCTATGTATGAGTGATAAACCTCTTCTTAGTTTTCCTTATCTAGTCTCCTGTTCCTTCGATAGTCTAACTACGGCCTCCCTAATTCTCAGCTATGAGTCAGCATTACAACATTAATTATCGAGAGAGAGAGAAGGAGCACATATATACGCATGCGTAGCAGAAGCATATTGAGAGATAAAGTGAGAATTAAGAAATGATATGGATAAAAGATGGTTGAAAAGTAGCAATCTGTGAGTAGTTGTCATGCCCTGTAGACAAGCAAGTACTCCGTTTGGTCAACTAGAGCTATCTGTGGGGGTCGGATGGCGGGCCTTCGAGAGAAGAAGTTCACTTCGAATAATTGCTACCTATCTTGAACATGGCACGTTAGTGGTGAATCAATGTTAGTAACAGTGTTCAAAATAAACACCTTTAAATCAGATTCTGGACGATCATTTAGTACAGACGTTCCCTGAGAGCATTTTAAGACCGCATAACATGGAACTGCAGTGTAAATAGTAATACTCAAAATAATCTCTATATTCGAAAATCTCAGTGCCTGCTTCAATCTCCAAACCTATCTCTTATGAGATGGGACGAAGCCTAGCATGTCCAGTTGGCCGAGCTACAACTTTTGCAAAATCGAATTCTCCTTTCTATAGAGAGTACACGTCTTTGTCAAATGCTAAGGCGGATATACAGTGTACTCATTATGGGGTCTGGATCCATTATTTTGGAACCTGTGAATGGATACATTTATATATATATATGTGATAATTTAATGTAATCCATTTTATTATTTGTACATTTACACTCGAGTAAATTGAAACGCACATTCGGGGATAATTTTCATCTTTCTCGCATATAGGTTTGTTATTACTATTACGTTAGTTTTAGTGGTTACTTGTTACCAGTATTTAAAATAAAAAAGGGGCGTCTATTTCAAAAACGAGTATCCAGTAATAAAAATGAGGACTAAAAATAATATTCACACACACACACACACACACACACACACACACACACACAGTCACACACACACACATATATGTTTGCTTGTGTATATATATATATATGATAAAATAAAAAATAGGAAACGTATATCAATCTAATATGTTTCCCTTTTATTAAATCTTCGTCAGAGATTGAGAGAAAATAGACAAAAAGACAGAAAATACTGGTATTTTCAATTAGTTTTGTCTCAGTTCTCATTGGTTAAACACGTGTCACGTGCATTAAACCGTACATAATTCTATGTGTAAGTTTGTGAAGATTTTTCTATGTCTAAGTGGCCATCGAATGGCAATGTGTATTCGTAATTGTGTATGTGTGTTTAGTGGGAGTTCTGTGCTGTCAATCTGTGCAGTCATATGATTCTAATTTATGGCTGACCTCATTAAACATTTATTATTTTATTAAATATAAGTTAAATTCTTTAAAAATGGGCTCAAAGAAAGATGGCGATGTATATATTTTAGACGTGTGTTTATAGTAATAATGTTTATAATGTTATTATTAAGTTTTCAATATTTACATTATTCCTACCGTTATCCTCATCTTCATTGCCATATTCACAACGTTTCGGCTGTTATACGCTCCGGTCTTCTTCAGATGATTAGAATTTCGGTTCTTTATTTCGGAGTAGATTGTTCTAATTCCACGTGCCATGACTCTTCCGGATGTCTCAGTTATTTCTCTTTAACTCAACTCTTCAAGTTTTGTTCACCACTGCTGTGGCCTTGTATTGAACTCATAACACTTTGGGTCTATTCCTTGTGTGAAAACTCAGTGGTTACGATGAAAAATAATTCGAGTAAGGACAAACATTTCAGACCACGGCTATAAAGATAATAAAGAAAATGACAAAAATTCGAGAAGATTTTCTGCTATTCAATCTTCATTTATGTCTACGAGGATTACTGGTACCATAATTGGGTACCCTCATGAACGGGTCATCAGCAATTAAACCAGTTCGGCCACCAAGGTTGACTTGTGAAGAGAATGGCTACAAATCAATCAGGACTTAAAAATAGACCTGCCAGAGGATGAATAAAGTAGAAGGTCGACGGCCAATACAGTGAGGACACTACATCGCTGAACGGAAGACTGAAGTCAACTGCCAGAAAGGAGGGTGTCCTTGATGGAATGAATGGCCAAGAGTACGTGATCATTTCAACTTGGAAGGCATCGGTAGGGGTTTGATATTGGAGAGGGATGGGGCCCACTTATGCATGATACACAACGCAAAATGAATACTTTCCCGGCTTTCAACTCAGATATTTAGAAGTGCTCGGCTGCGCGGTAACCCTACGACCACACCCAGTTATGGGACTGATTATGATGATGATGATGATGATTTCTATTGAAACTCATTAGATACGTCTACTGAGAACAAGCAAAGGCATGAAAGAATAAATGCCCTGATGTTAGGCATGCTAGCCATGGTTTCTGATCTCAACTAAATGTATAGATTTTGTCTTGGTTAATCAAGATGGGCTATAGTAAATATCCCAGTCATGACCACAGTTTTCTTTGTCAGTTGCTTGACGTGACCCTAATGAGAGTGACGCACTGTGCTGCATATTGTTTAAGGAAGCAGATGTAGAGAAGCAGCTTCATTGAAGAATATAACAACCACGGTGACTTGGGAATCACATCTCTGTTCTTGGGACCACCCGCATTCAGAGAAGGTCTTAGTCGACTAGATTACCCGACCTGAAAGTATTACAATGTTGTATGCTGTTTTTATCAAAACTTGTTCATATTTGGCTGTGATGAATGTGTTTGGTATTCCCTTATCAGTCTAGGTGTCATGATGAGTATATTGAGTTTCCTGTCTTCGTAATCCAGCATCATTTTGTTGGCACACTGCCCTCAAAAAAACTATTATATTATTATTGCTATTATTGATATTGTTGTCGTTTCACTATTAATTTATTATTTATACTGTTTCATTATCAGATTATCATTGATCTTGTTATTTAATTATCATTTTATTATTGTTATTATTGTTATTGTTGTAGGGGCCCCTTAGAACAATAATAGAAAAACTGGGATTCGAACTGAGATGCTTCAGATTTTCGAGAAAAGTTTTCTTTGATGTAAGAAGATGAAGAAATGACAAAAAGCCAAGGTCATTTCTGTTCAAGCTCTCTTGGTCGTGAAATAAAAGCAAGACTAGCATCTTGAGAAAAAGAAATTAACAAAAGCAGGATGAACCATAACGAAATCAGTGATAATGAGGAAGGGAAAGACAATAAAAAAAAAAAGTAGGAAAAGAATTAAAAAATTGTTATATAGGAATAAATTGTCGCTGGCGACACTTGAGTTTGAACATAGATCGCCCGTGTTTGCTCACTTTATTGAATTAAGTAGATCACGTCACCATAGAGGAAGCGCATAAATAAAAAGTAGCGTGACGTCTAATTGATCACCATTTCTTGTCTATCTTCTATTAGTATACGTTTCGCTATTTTCTATACTATTCCCTATACCCTACACTACTCTCTATACTGATCACTATTCGGTGATTACTATTCGAGCGAGTAATATCGAGTAAGTACTATTAGTTCGAGTGTTATACCGAAGGCATCTGACACCAGTATTGTTCAACGGCGTTACTATAGTTGTATCTGCGATTACAAAGTCTTTACTACAACGAGCATTAAAAAGTGGCAACGAGTGTTGGTTGATATCACACAAAAAAGAAAGAGGAAGAAGGTGAATGAAGATTAAGTAATAAACATAAAAAAGACAAAGGAAAAAAAACGAAGAAACAATTTGGAAGGGGAGAAAAGAAGAAAAAGAAGAAAAGAAAAAAGGCACATTAAAAAAACGACGAAGGGACAAAAAATTAATTGATTTTGTTGCAAATCTGCAAACTGTGAAATGTAAATACTTTAACTTCTTATTTTCTCTCCTTTTCTTTCTTTGTTGGCAAATATAATTTCTTTTGTTGGCTTAAGGTCAAAGGAGTCAATTCACAAGGTCGACATGATGGACTATGGAGAGATCATTTCGTATCGGAAAGAAGTCAGTTAGTGCCAAAGATTTGGTCTTAGCAATGATAGATTGAAAAAGGATTAATGGCCCGGCTGTTCGATTAACATTTTCATTGATTGATTGGAAAAAAAGAATTGATTTAGGAAGTGAATTGATATTGTATGTGTTTATATATGCATTTGTTAAAAGATGTGTATTTGAAAGTGGATTGAAAAAAGAAAATATAGAACGCCATTGGTCTAGAATAGAGAAGTTGAACAAACTGGAGAACTTGGAAGGAGAAAATAAATATGTAAATATGAATTTATTGATAGAAAACGAACAAAGAACAATGAATAAAGATGGTTTTGTATGGATCAACAACAGATATGGATACAATATAAAATGGAAACGAAAAAAGCGATAAAAGAAATCACTTAGGTCTGTGAACATCCTTCAAAAGAGTAGATTACTGGTAAGTTGATAGGTTTTTTCAGTCTGGGATTCAGAAAAGAAATATTTGAAGGAGTGTGAGAAAATATAAAATTTATAATATGTGTAAGGGAGAGAGAGAGAGAGAGAGGCAGAGAGAGAGGGAGAGAGAGAGAGGGAGAGAGAGAGCGACCGAAAGAAAGGGAGCAAAACACAGAGGGAAAGCGAGTGAAATAAAGAGAGCGAGAGAGCGAACGAAGGAAAAAGAGCGAAAGAAAGAGAGTGGGAGAGCGAGTGAAATAAAAAATGTGAGAGCGAACGAACGAAAGAAGAAGAGCGGGTGAAAGAAAGAGAGCGAGAGAGTGAGCGAAAGAAAAAGAGCGAGTGAAAGAAAGAGGGTGAGAGAGCAAGTGAAAGAAAGAGGGCGAGAGAGCGAGTGAAAGAAAGAGAGTGAAAGATCGAGTGAAAGAAAGAAAGTGAGAGAGCGAACGAAAGAAAGCGAGCGCGAAAGAAAGAAAGAAAGAAAGAAAGAAAGAAAGAAAGAAAGAAAGAAGGTGAGCGCGAAAGAAAGAAAGAAAGAAAGAAAGGAAGAAAGAAAGAAAGAAAGAAAGAAGGCGAGCGCAAGAGAAAGAAAGAAAGAAAGAGAAAGAAGGCGAAAGAAAGAAAGAAAGAAAGAAAGAAAGAAAGAAAGAAAGGTGATCGAGAAAGAAAGAAAGTGAAAGGGAGTGCGAAAAAGAGAAAAAGAAAGAGATTGTTATGAAGAGACAAAGAAGAAAGCTGAAATATTTCAATTAACTGAGAAAACGTTAAGTTTAGAAGTAATCAATTTCAATTTAGTATTTTGGATCTCTTAAAAAATAGTAAAAAAAACCCCAAAAAACCCTGACCTTTTTTTGTTTGAATTTCGTTCTTAGTTGGTCAAAGATGTAAGTGAAGAAAGAAATCACCAGTGACCTGCTCTATTCCGATCAACTAACCGAAAACAAGAGCAGAACTGAGAAATTAACAATGGAAATCACATGTGATGTTTGAGTTTATTCGCTTAACCTCATTTTTGCTAAAAAGAACAAAAATGTCTCGCAAAATGCGGTCAGTCAGTGCTTCTCGTTTACAAATCATCCGTTAGGATTGAAAGGAAAAAAAGCAAATAAAATGTAATCGAAATAAATTCGAGGTGAATTCGAACTTTTTTTTTTTTTTACATAAGTTTAATTTCTTTGTTAAAAAAGTTGATCTTATCGTATAGAAGTGGTTTAATCAGTTGTTCAAATAAGGAGGAGTACCGATTCCGAGTCTGTGATGCTACTTACTCTTTTTTTTGGGCGGTGGAGATTAATACTTATTTTAAATTTTCTATCATGAGGCGTTATTATGTACACTATATTCAGATTATCGTCTTAATCTTTGTTGTTGTTATCATAATGTTTCGAACCTTGTGCCCTTCTTCAGGTGTAAATCAATCTGGATAACCTACAGTGAATTCTGAACTTTTTATTTATCATCTGTCTGTATGTCTGACTTGTGTTTTAATTATTTAAACTATTTGCATTGTTCAGCCTGTTGCCTTCATCTTTATTGTCATATTCACGACGTTTCGGTCGTTGTACGCTGCCGCCTTCTTCAGCTGATGTACACTGGAATTTCGAACCGGACCCTTTATTTAGTCCAATGGGGTAGATTGTTCTAGTTCAAAATGCCATGCATTGTTAGATATCTCAGTTTCAGCTAATTCCCTTTAATAAGTTTTAGTTCACCTCTACTGTGGCCAGGTATTGAACTCTCAACTCTTTGGGTCAAATCATTGGATTGCTTCAACCACCGCTTTATCCACTGGGATATGTGAACCAACGCCTTTATCCACTCGGCTATGCCACATTGTGAGTTCAATCCCTGGGCCGGGCAGTGTGTATTTGACTCCGTAGAAACGGGTAAGCAATAAGTGAGTAGCACTAAATTAAAAAAAAAGGACCAGACGATATATCCCTAGACATAGGCGGCAGTGGAACGAGAACAATCTAACCCCGTAGATTAAACAAAGGAACTTCCTGTAAGTTACCCAGATCGATATACATCTGACGAAGGTAGGAGAGTACAACGATCGAAATGTTGTGTTAACAATAAAGATAAGGACAATAGTCTGAATATAAATAGTGTAAATAATTTGTTTTAAATTCGATATTTTCTGAAAATCATTACGGAAAGTTTGGCAGAAGTTCATCATTTTGGATCCCTAAGAAAGGTTGAGTTCAGGATAACACAAATGAAATTAGATTGTTAGACGAATTTGTTCATTATGGTATTACTCTAGCTACTGAGAAACAGCAAAGAGTAAAATGAAACGAACGCTGGACAAGTATCCGAGAGCTAACCAAACGAGTGAGAAAAAAAAGCACATGAAGATGACTGTTTTACCAATCGCTGTTAGAGCACTGTGAACTATTCCGAAAAGTCGAAAGAAGCTGGAATAACTATTATCTCTCCTTAATATTTTTCCCTTTTCTAATATTCTTTCACTCAGTAACCCCCTTGTCCTTTAGTGGCTTAAAGCCTTGTCCGGGGAGAAATGATAAGAAAAAAAATCCCAGAAACTTGAAGAATCAAGACCTTTCACACAATGTCACCACTGAAAGCCGATAGAATACTGAGGAAAGTTCTGGAGTATCGATGAGACTTATTGTCACTTGATCTCCAAAAACAACTGTTGTGAAAGTTCAAACGATAATGCTGATAGCTGTTGATCGAGTCCAGACGATAAAAGGAAGTCGACATTGATAACAGCGACGATGATAGTGGTGGGACGGGAGGTCGAAGACGGAGGAGTAAGATCAATAAATAAAAAAGATGGCAAAATAAAGCCGTATTAGACGTTTGCATTCGAGATTAAAAAGGTGTCTAATATGGTAGAATTGCAATTCTGCATTATAGCAAGAAGAAGGCGATGGGAATTAGTTGTGCAGAGGAGTATGGGACATGTTTGTGAATTCGGACGGTGGGAGCGGATGGGATTTTTGTTTTAGTGAAATGAACAACAAAGAAATAAAAGAAACACAAATCAGTGAAAGTGAAAGTGAAAGTAACAAGTGAATTGATTAAGTCAAATGAATGAAAAAAGGGAAGGATTAAAATAAATAGAGAAAGAATAAAAAAAGATGAGAAAAGAAAGGAAATTGCATTCTACACAGAAAAACGGATATAATCAAGAGAAAAAATAAAGAACATTTACAGAAAAGGTGATTCTAAAACATGTGTATATAATTCTAAATATATAAAGAAGTCTAACAAATTAAAAAAAAAAAAAGATTTATTGAAAGAAAAGCATAGCTAAGCAAAAAGAGAATGACGAGATAAAGAAAAGACGATTGAAATATAGACTGGAAAATAAAAAGGACAAAAGAAATAAATTGATTAAATAAGTAAGAAATCTATTAAGAAAATGAATATCAAAAAAAGACTTTGAGAAAAGTAGTCTCCAAACAAGAAAGAAAAGACGGACATGTGAAGAGAGAGAGAGAGAGAGAGAGAGAGAGAGAGAGAGAGAGAGAGAGAGAGAGTTAACAGACAGATAGGGAGAGAGTGAGAGAGAAAAAAGAAAGAAAAACAGAGAGATGGAGAAAAGAAAGAGAGAAAAGACAGAGAAAAGGCAATGAAAAGTAAAAAAAAAAGATTATTATAAAAAGAGAGAGAAAAAACTAATCTGAGAATGACTAGAAAAAAAAACATCTTTCGGAGTAAATGGAAAAAAATGGAGGAGCTAAAAAAGGAAACCGTTACAAAAGAAAAAAAAAGCTTATCTTTCGCCGCTAAAAAAAAAAAGAAAAAAAAAAGGCCCCGAATGAAATAAAAAATGTAGGGAAAAGGCCAGGAGTTTGTTATTTTCTTTCTTTGAAACATTGTTTTATCATTGAACATCACGCATCGTAGATATTTGATGATTTCTGGGAGCATGTTGATTTTACCCTTCCTTCTTATCATGACCGATTGAAACGCAAAGACGACTGGCATCTGATTCTAACATCACATGTGCTCTTAGTTGATCCACTTATTTATTTATTGAGTCGGTATCAGAAGAAAGGCTGACGGATTTCTGCCGATACTTTAATGTCATTTTGAATTTATTTTCAAAACTTCACCGTTGGACTGGCAGTTCGAGTTTGCAATAGAATGATAAGAAGCAGTAGTAAACTATAAGTTTTAAGTGATATTGACCTCACACAGGACGTGACCCCAGGGTCGAGTTAATGTGGGGTGCCCATACATCTACATATGGGTCATGGACAAAGATTTCCCAGTCCTCACAAGAGGAAAAGAGACAGAAAATAAAAGCAAGATAGAAATAAAGAGAATTAGGGGGACAGACAGAAAATTGAAATATATGAATTGTATACCAACTGACGAGTGATTACTAGCGAAAGATATTCTTGAAAAATAAGGTTTTGATTTTAAAGTAGTAGTGGTTCTGACTATTTTTTTTTTTGGTCATCATTTAAGCGTTTATATTTCTTTCTCTTTTCTGTTTTTTGTTTCTATCTTATAATTCTCAAAATGTGTGTGCGTGTGTATGTATGTGTGTGTGTGTCTGTGTGTGTGATCGGATGTTGTTTATGCGTTTCCACAGTATTCATCGGATTTTGATGAAATTTTTTTGTTTGATAGATAATTCTTCAGTGCCGGTTTGAGTCCAAATTGGTTGGAAAAAATTACAACCTTGAAGGTGAAAAATCGAAAAAGATGAAAGAGACGGTCATGCAGCATTTTCAGAGGTGCAAGACATCAGTGATGTGCCCTGTTACCTCAACGTTTAGGCACCATTCTGTATGCATATGTGTAAACCCACTCATTCTGCAACTCTATGCGCCCATTTACCATGTTTTGCTTGTTCATGTTCTCTCAGTTTCATTCGTCTAGTACATTTCCTAAGATTACTTTTTCTGGGATAACCTTCCAATCCTACCTCATACTGTGTGGGCGTGTTTCACACCTCCACACGTTGCCCATCGGTTGCTGTTGACCTTGATAATTAGTGCGTGCAGAGCAACGCGAGTACGTCTGGCCCTGCAACACGCGCTGTGTCACGCGCTGATGCACACGTATACACATGACCTGCGGAACGCAACACCTGTTCGAGTTGCCCATTGCCTGCACGAATCCCCTTTAGACGTCCAATCAAATACCGCCATGTAAAACTGATTGTCTACATACAATAGAATTTACGCACGAAATGGAATACAATTCTTTGCCTTTCCTAGATGTCATTCTATACCGCGTTAACAATAGCTTAAAACTTAGTGTTCACTAGAAATCAACTAACAAAAACGATCGAATAAACTTCAATTCTCATCCGAACAAAATAAAATCCGGTATAATCATCGAATTCTACTTAAGAGCTTTCAGTGTCGGGGATATCTAATAACAAAAGTGACGGAAACAAAAAGAAAAAGAATCTAAATAAAATCGGCTAGATTATATAAAATAAATGAAATTAAAATTCCCAGCATCCCTCGTGGGTTGCGCATGTGCAGTCGCACAAACGTAACAAATTTGTGTCCGATTTCCTTACGCGAAAACATTTTGCCACAAGATTGTTCTTGATTTATAAAAATTTATATATCATTCTCTCTCTTACTATTATATATATATATATATATATATATATATATATATATATATATATATATATATATATATGCATTCTTACATTAGAACATGTACATGACCACTACAAAAATGTACATCTTGTTTCTACGTTAAAAATAACGTTTTTTCATGTCGAAAATGATGATGATGATTTTTTTTTTATTCCGAAATAAAATTAACGAAGCACATCTCCCACTTCTGGCTTTGCAAAAATTCCCATAAAAGGTAAAAAGGATTTATATATGAAAGAAAGAAAGAAAGAAAGCTAAGTGATTAATAAAACGAAAGAGGGAAGAGAAACAAAAGGAAAAAGAAATAAAGATTGAGAAGAATATTAAACATTCTTCTATTTATAAGGAGAAGAAAGGTGAGAACAAAAGAGATAATAAAATGTCTATAGTATATAGATCAATGCATTTTCATTTTAAGACAAAAAAAGAGGAGGAAGTTTGAGAAAAAACAAAGAAGCAACAAATTCAACCAATGGAATTCCGTCGAATCAGAGAATTCAAATTTAAACGGTAACGTAACCAGTTAATGTTTCTTTGGCAAAAATTTCCTGTGTTCGGAGAAAATTATTCATGAAATTTAAAGAAGTAAAATACAATATTTAATAAAACAGACTTTACAAGATAAATTAGAATACCAAACAAATTTTAAACCTTTATATTGTTATATTAGTTATACTTAACGAAACTAACTTTACATTATGAATTAGAATCCTACATAGCCTTACTAAAGGGAAAAATAATTCAATAATATAACGAATAAATATTTAAAATAATTTTTTAATTAAATAGGAGTGAAATTAAGATAGAAAGAGAGGTAAAATAAAATTTAAATTAATATCATCCTCCAAATTTCAATAAATTAAGTTGGAAATGAGAATTGATGTTATTGTCCATAGAAAGGTAAAAATGAAGAACAGTAGATATAGATGAGCTTGGATTGAAATCCAACCGATTTGGCGTCAATCAGAGTTTCTACCCTTAAGCCATCAACACGCGGCTGAGAGAAACTGCTAATTTTAGCTTATTGTTTTTACGAATGTGAACAAACGCCTAAACATTTGAAATGTATTATTAAAGAGGTCAGCTAACAATGACTAAGATAAAATAATGAATAAATAATAAAAGTAACAAAAATAAAATTAATATTAATATATATTACGGTTAACTTAGACACAGAAGTAAGAATCAGAATATATTTAAGTTTAGTGTTAAATTTAAAGTAAAATTAAAATAAAATATATAATACAAGTGCAACTAGGCTAGACTGACTGTGGTCACAATGCAATGTTTATAAACATAATAAACATCAGAAGATTTGTTCGTAGGTTAGAAATTTCTTTAGCAAGATTGTAAGGTTAATTCCTTTGTATATTTACAATTTATTGCCGTTTCATATCTCCGATTCAACAGACTGTCTTTGTTCGAGTAATTATTTACATTTTTTCCTGTAGGCAGAGAAAACATGGTTCGTTTAGAGACATTGATATTCTAGCGAATTTTAGAATTTTCTATTTACCTTGGGGTGCTTTATTTTTGTCTTTTAATTCCCAAGACTACTTAGAAGTCATATTTCGTTTAGATGCGTTATTAAAAGATGAGATATGATTATAAAGGCGCTTATTGAAATTATTCATTGTACTCCCGACGTAAAATCGTTCAGAAATCCTGGGATTTGCGAGCGACGTAATAGAACATCCATATACTATGGATTTTGTTAAACACCTGTTGGATAACAGGCACTGGTTGGGATTTTTACAATTACATAGGTTATTTGTAGGAGACACACTAAAGTCAGCACTCGTACACCCGTTATTTTTGTTACATAATCTCAATATTCTAGTGTTATTTGATTTAATTGTTTTTTTTATAAATTATTTGTGCAACTATAGAGTTTTAGAGTGTTGCGATTGAAAATTTACCTCAGAGAGTTCTTTTTAGGAAAATGTTTTTTCAAATAATTCTAAGAATTTATATTCTAATTTAGTATGTACTAATTGATTGTATGGAGGAGTATACCATATGATCTTCCTCTTTCTATTTATCTTCTTGGATCGATCATAATTTTTCCACAAATTCAACTTTTGAAGATTTAAATGCACTATCCTTAAGAATTTTATTATAGACTGTTTTATGTTTTTCAAATATTTCTTTACTAAATAAGTACTGATTAATTCGTCGTTCTACTGATGATGGAATATGTTTGATTACGAATGGTGGTTGGTTGGAGCTAGGATGAATATACACTGGGTTAGCGTTATTTTTCATGAAAACTATTCGTCGCTAAATTAAATTTAACATCTAGGAAATCAAACTGTCTAATATTAGCATTGATAACTACGTTGAGTCCAAACGATTTAAACACCATATGTATTAATTTTCTAAGTTTATCGACCTTACTTCTAGTATATTCATTAACAACCATGAGGCCATCGTTCCTATAAAGCCCTATAATGTTGATCAGGTTAATTTCTTCAAATGCTGTGAGGTTGAACAGGAGAAATAATCAAAGTCTGAAGATTCTACAGAATCCCGAAACCCTATACAGCCGTCAAAATTATCGGCTGAATTCTTAATCGACTGTTCGTTTTCGTGTATTAATTCTGATTTTCTGCAGTTCATAATAATGTTAATATCTTCTTTCGTAATGTCAGAATAAAATTCGGCGAATTCTAATGTAAAATAAAAGTTCCCTAGAAATAGACGGAAAAAAATTCGTATATATATATATATATATATATATATATATATATATATATATATATATATATATATATATATATATATGTATATGTGTGTGTGTGTGTGTGTGTGTGTGTGTGTAATTGGGACGAGTGCGAATGGAAAGAAGTGTATTTATGCAAACATTCCAAAAAGCAAAACGTATATATAATTTTTGGGTAACTGTTCTCATAACACATTCTTCTACGTTATAAGATACACTTTGTTGTTACCAAAACCTCATTAACATCATTCAACACAATTGTCAGCCCTTGATAACCGTAGGTAGTCCATCTCACTGAATATTCTATTGAATCGCTAATGTCACTTCATTAAAACCAGATTGATCTGTGGGGATCACTTACATGTGCCACACCTGCATTTCCTTCAATATCATTGGTTCGTAAAAATATGATACTTATCATATGACAATTTTGCCATCGCAGGTAATTTGAAATTTTCTCTAAAATCACAGATTGGTCCATTTCCTGACCAATCGTGTATTTTAGTATCTTTCTATATTTTTTAGCGCCAAGTCAATAGCAGTTCAATTCTTGGAAAATAAGGCACGGCGCTATATTGACATTTTAATTCTTAATTATCACTCAATCGACTAATCATACTAATCCCTATTGATAT